TCGTGTCGTCATGTGGACAGTGCTGCGCCTCGCTGCACAGCCAGCCGCGCGAGCCAATGCGGTGGAAGGATGCACGCTGCCAAGTCTGTCTCTGCCGACTATTTACACAACATCCGGGCGCTCCTTCATGGTTAGCAAACTAAATAGACCCAGATAGTCCCACAAAATCTAGCTTTATTGTGGCTTAATTCGTGTTTTCACTTAATTTTTCCCCACAATACCAAGTACATACTCTCTGCCCACGGAAAGTAACTTCGATTGAGAAAGGTTTCTTTATGCTTCATGCTTCACTCTTCATGCAACATAGGAGACTTTGTGCTCGTACCTAATTGGGCATGTGTCAGCCACACAGCGACACATACCAGACGGATGGCCGTGAACCTACACAACAGCGGCCCAGGCACGCACATAAAAACCCACCGCAACACACAGCTCACCCGACATGCCAAATGTTCCACAGCAATACAACAGTCATCACACGCTCTACACAATGACTGAGTTTTCGCACTAGAAGTGATGTACATCCGTGAATGGGGCCATCTCATTAACACGCGTGCAAATGCGCGTGGAACCCTCAAACTGTATGGAGGGCCACGACTGGTGAGTAGAGCACCAGACCGTTGAGTGTTTTGTGTGTCGCTGGTGAACGTTGCGGTATGTCAAAGACGAGCGCATGTAATGCATGAATGCCCTTGGATGTACTGCAATATGTATAAAGTATATTTGTATTGTGCATGTATTATAAAAACTGATTCCTTTGGAAGCAAGATCCATAGAAAAATGTCCAATCGTTCACCTGAGCTTTGCAGATATTTGATTAGCTTGATTAACCGTGATCGTATGGACCCGGAAACTGTTAGGCACTCTGGAAAAGTACTCACTTGTTCAGCGCATTAGCGAGGAACATTATTCACAGAGATAAGGTAGTAGTATTAGCCTCACTCCTCGGCGAAAAACAAAACAACAAAACTATATCTCCATTCTCCTGGTTTTTCCGAGGAATGCGCCTAGTACTACTGTCTTATCTTCTCTGAAAAATATCCTATTTAGGATGAAACTATCCGGAATATAATTGATACGAGGCCACTCAGTACGACAGTCTTTATCCTTTTTTCATGATCTTTTTAACGGCAATTTCAACGAATGGGTCGACAAGAAAGGATAATGTTACTACTAGGCTGCATATGTTTATAGTATATATATATATATATATATATATATATATATATATATATTCCGAAAGCCAGCCTTATTCACTTACGCTTGAGTATCGCATGCATGATGATAATAACGGCTATTATTATCCAGCTCATCCCACACTGTAAAACATGCCTAGCTACTTCCAGTCAACTTTATCGTTAACACTGACTCCTGGTTTATCGATGCCGATACTGGTTTGTAAACACCAGCTTCCAGTATGCCCAATGTTTTCTTGCTATAAAAACATTACCCAGGTCCTTACTATCATTCTTCCCTTCACATATGCCGCACCCTGCTTATCGGCTCCAATTGATCCCTTCACAAACACCAGGCCATGGTTCCTGGTTCCCTTTGGTTCTTTCAAGAACGTCAGGATCCGTACCTTGGTTACCAATGGTTCCTGGCACACATGAGATCCTTGTTTCTGCTTTACATTAGTTCACTCGCAATACCAAATCCTCTTTCCTGGTTACCAATGACTCATTCATTCATTCATTCTCTGGTTACTGCCTGATAGTTTCTTACCACTGCACTGCTGTGTTGCCGGATGTAAAAGATGGCACTTATTATTCCTTTATGCAAACATTTGTGGTGCTGTTACATGACACACCACGGGTTGTCGCATAGTGCACTTCGATGATCATGGTATCTAATTCTGGTTCATTATACGTAAACTGCTTGTTGCACGTGCGTGAGGTCTGGTCTTTGGAAGCTTGTCAGAACTGTTGAGGAAACCAAATCATGTAATTCAAATTTTGTCAAAGGCACCTAACAACCAGGGCAATAGATATCTGGTAGAACGAATCTCAGTCAAAACAGCGGTATTAACCAGAAGTGTACTAAATATGCAATGTTGGCCAGATTTATAGTTTGTATTAGTAATTTGAATGCAAGCAGCTGAAGGTAAGCGTGATGCAGGTGCCACAGTAAGTTTGATGCCGGGTTCATCGAAATTGGCCCGATAACATTAAATTTACAGCTTCTGTGAAAGTCAGATCTTTAACACATGAACTTATGGGCTAATATGCAAAGTACGCCGCAGAGCGGTTGCGCTACTAACGAACTTCGGTGAGGCTGCCTCACAGCCAGGTCTTCAGATCTGTTGGAAGGGAAGCACTCTGGGATTGAAAACAGGAACAGCCTGGTGATGAGGGTACGTCCAACTGACAGAGGGGGTCGACATGGAGAACGAAGTGGGGGTCGGTCGTGCCTGAAAATGCTATGATGGGCTCAGCAGGTGTGCTTTTCTCGGGAGCGTGCCAACCAGCGCACTTTTGGTCCGCTCGTGCGATGAAAGTAGGCGATACTCTGGCGACGGGCATTTGCACCTTGGTAGCCATGCAAGGTATTTTCATATGATGATGCGTCTAACAAGACACTCAAGCCAATGTTGTTCGTGATGATCCCCGATATCCACAGACGGAACCACATTTCGTTGTTTGTTGCAAAATGGCGTGTCCCCGATCGATTCACCTCTGATTACGTCTGCACTTTCGCCACACAGCTGGAGCCAACGCCAGCCATAGACAGTCTTTTTTCAAAACAAAATGATATATACATGCATGTATGTATCATGTGTCTATATCTGCAAAAATCATACGAATAAGACAACTGTTGAAC